CAACCTTCTTTTTCAGAGTTCTACAGTTTTCTTTGTAGATGTCTTTCTTTTTCTTGATTAGGTTAATTATTAGGTGTTTGTTTTTCTTGATTCTACTGTGAGTCATGTTGATTTCCTAATTTTTTCCTCAGTGTGCTCATTATCAATGTACCACAATGCTGTTGATTTTTATATTGTTAATTTTGTAAACTGCTACATTGGTGAATTTGGTTATTAATTCTAGGATACTTTTGATTGCATTTTGTGGTTCTTTTATGTAGAGAGTCATGTCATTTGGCAAGTAATGATAATCCGACTTCTTCCTTTCCTATACACATTTCTTTTCCTTGCTCTTTCTTTCCTGATTGCTCTTGGCTGGTGGTTTGAGTACTATCCTGAACACGAGTGGGGATAGTGGGCATCCCTGTCTTGTTCCTGATTTTAGAGGAAATTCTTTCAGTTTTTCCCTACTTAATATGATATTGTCATTAGTTTGTCCTAGATGACTCATCCGATTCAGGAAAGGTCTTTTAATATCTATTTTCTTCTGTATTTTTGTTGTTGCTGCTGTAGTTGTTTGCTTATCATGAATGATTGTTGGATTTTGTCAAATGCTTTTTCTGCATCTACTGATATGATCACATGGTTTGTATCCTTGCCTCTGTCTATGTCATGTATTACACTTACTGATGTACATTTTCTGAACCACCCTAGCATTCTTTGGGATGAAACCTGCTTGCACATGATATATGATCCTTTTGTTGGTTTCTTGCACTCTATGTGCCAGTATCTGATTAGGGATTTTTGTATTTATGTTAATTAAGAAAATTTTCCTGGAGTTTTCTTTTTTGTGGCTCTCTGGTGTTAGGATCAGAGAGGTGATGGCTTCCAGAAATGAGTTTGAAAACATTCCTTCCTCTTCAATTTTGTTAAAGAGTTGAAAGCACATTATAACATCTTTAATTCTTATAGAATTCAACAGTGAATCTATCAAATCTATCTATCTATTTGTATGTTTTCTATCACTGCCTCAATCTCATTGCTTGTTATTGTTCAGAATTTTTATGCTTTTTTTGGCTTAGTTTTGGTAATTTGTATAAGGATCTATCCATTTATTCAAAATTTTCCAATTTGTTGGAGTATAATTTTTCATAGTAGCTACTATCTTTTGCATTTTGATGATATCCATTGTTATTTCATGTTTTTCATTTTAATTGCATTATATGAGTCTCTTTTCTCTTTTTCTTGGTAACTCTGGCTAATGATTTACCTGTTTTATTAATTCTTTCAAAGAACCAGCTCTTTGATTCATTGATTCTTTATAATTTTTTAGATACAGTTTCATTAATATCCACTCATCTTTCTGGATTCCCTCCTTATATTTGATTTGTGTTTCTGGATTATGGTTGTAATCTGGGTATCTTGAGATTCATCATAAGGTTATTTTTTTCTTTAGCTCACTTCATTTTTCTAATGTGAGCACTGATTTGCATTAAGCTTTTTTAAAGGACTGCTTTCATTGTGTCCCATAGGTCTTAGTGTGTTATATTGGTATTCTCATTTGCTTCCAGAAAAGAATGTTCTCTATATTAAATAAAAGCACATAGCCAAAGTGAGTTAATTGAGGAAAGAAGACAGATACCCTTGGAAAACCACCCTCTTAACCTTTAAATCTTACTTCAAGACTCAAATCTGTGCAGCACTCCCTGCCCAAGTTGAACCCACTGACCTACCAGCCTAGTCCCAACACCCCTCACACACACCCACTTCAAATTTTGAGATACGATCTCAATGAATTGCCAAGGCTAGGTTCAAACTCTCAATCCTGCTCCAGCCTTCACCGTGCTGAGATTACAAGTGTGTACCACTAAGCCCCATTTACATTAAATCCTTAAATTATGCAATTATAATCCCAGCACTCTGAGAGGCTGAGGTAGGAAGGCCGCAAATTTGACCCTAACCTGGGCAATTTATTGACCCAGTGAGATCCTGTCTCAAAATTAAGGAATGAAAAGTGTGGCCAAGCATGGAGCTCAGGGTGAAGGGCTTAGGTTCAATTCTCAGTACCACCACCACCACCACCATCCCCTCCCAAAAAAAGTTAGGCTACTTAGTAATAAGATACTTTTATCTCCGCAGCAAACTAAATCATCAGATAAATCTTTCAGTGTCTCATTCTCAGCAATAAATTAAATATCAAAATCATAAAACATACAAAACTTTTATTGCGCAAATAAAACAAAGATGGAACCAGAACTCAGCATGACCTGAGAATCTAAAAATAATTGTTAATGAAAAGTTTTTAGAAAGTGAAGTTTACAATTCTCAAGAATGCTAATAAAGATATGCATTATATATATATATATATATATATATATATATATATATATACATATACACACACACACACACACACACACACACACACACATGACTCTTTAGTCAAAGGGAGAGCTCCATTCAACAGGATCCACTAAAATTTCAAATTTGTGTTTTTTATTGTTTTCAATCACAGAAATATCTTTCATTTCTTAAGAAATGAAGAGATGTGTTCTATGGTTCAGGAGGTGGCTATAACACTAACATAAAATAGGACATTTCTATTACTAAAAAAGTTAAAGCAACTTTTAATTAGTTAATCTGACTCAACAGAGAAGTTAGAAACAAGGCACTTGAACCACTAATACCTTGAGTTCTGAATTCCTCTTTTGAAAAAGCTGAGAATTTTCATGCATCAAGAAAACCTAGTATTCAGCTACAATTATGAAACATGTAATTTGTTTATTGTTGTGAGTAGCAAGGCATGTAAGGAAGTCACCATTCTGAAATAATTAAATTCATATAGCTCTGAGATTCTCTGGCTTTTGGCAATGGAGACACTGTGCTACTGTCATGAAGTATCTCAAGGTGGCATCCCTAGGTGTTCTGACTCAGGAACTGTTTATTTCCAATTCAATTTGCTTTTGATTCAATTCCCCAAGAGTTGGTCAGAGGGTCCACATGGGCTTCCTTATTTGCTAGACATTCTGCTGGATAGAGCATTCATCCACTGCTCCATCTTCCTGGGTGTATTAATTGAAAATGAGCCATTTTTAGGTTTGGGGTTGGGCTCCTAAAAATGCTCTTCAGAATGCTGGGTTCCATATCCAGCCTCTGTTCCAGCTAGAAGTCCCCACAAGGAATTATTCTTTTTACATGCTAAACATAGATTTGTTACTGTGCATATTCCAAATGTAAGAGTTGTTCACTAAAATACAAAGATGGATGTGCTTCAGTGTTTACTTTATACAAAAACTGACAGGTAATTTTCTTAGGTCTCAGCTAATTTTTACTAAGCATTTGAAGCATCAAGTCGTTGAATATAGAATGGCAAATGTTGTAATAGAAATGTGCCCAGGAGTTAAAAGGAGGAAAGTCTCAGGGATTCTTCCAAAGAGAAGAGGCCAAACTTTTGAAAGTGAGGATTGAGGCTGGGGAGGCCCAGAACTCTCTACCAGAAGGTCAGAGGTGACCAGGTAAGCAATAGTGAAGAATTTGCTTCTGGATTTGGCAGTCTTCCAGGTAGAGTGCAGTGATGGTGAACCTTCTAGAGATTTCAATAATACAAATAACCTGCTGCTGCGTGCACCACCACTGGCCCAGTGACTCCAGGAACATTCCTAGAGGCAGCTCACAGAAATGAGAAAGACAGCAGGGAAGGGAAAAACCAAAGAGGCAGTGAGCTTCCAAGGCCTATTGAATTTTGCAATTAGGTCTTCATTATTAATTACAAAAGCTAGTATGTTCTCTATCCCAGGCAAAGATCATCCACATTATCTCATCCAATTCTTGCTACCACTCTGGAAGTTTGTGTTATTTTCTGCAGAACAGTTCCTTGAATGGCTATTGGAAAATTCCAAACTTAGACAAAAGACTGAGTGGGGAGCATTTGTAGGCTGCATTTGTGACAAATTTGGGATGAAAAGGACTGAGTTCCTACTAAAGGTCAATTGGTGTGCCAGGCACTTTAGCACTACTTCCTAGAGTGGTTCAAACAATACTCTAAAAGGAATGTGTTGCTATTCACCTTTAAAGAAAAAACCCAGATGTGAAGGCTAAACGTGATCCCTTTGAGTATCAATAAAGCCCCTGGCCTCTCCGAAGAGCAAGAGATGCTGAAAGTTTAGCGCACTTGACAGGGCACTGAGAAGGTATGCACCAAAACTTCATTGAAAGCGCTGGCTTCCTTGCTAACAGCCTGCTGCTTGAGGCCCTGGGAGTGAGGCTCCCTCACTCCTGACCTCATCCCCACCACCTGCTGCGCATTCTTTGGCCTCAGTTCTCCAGTCTGTAAAGTGGCCTTTGTTTTGAAAATAGTGAAAAAAAAAAAAAAAAAAAAAAAAAGAATAAGGAGCAGCTAAAAGGCACGGTCTGTGCCCGGCTACTAACGTTGGCTACTGTCTTAATCCAATGTTACCTCCAGAAAAGGAAGAAGGTACCAGAGCTAGCAACTCCAAAAGCCGGCTCCCACTCCAAGATTTTCCAGAGGCCAGGATCTAACAGTACTGCCCGCTGTCCTGCAGGGTATTGAAAGTGTTGCAGGGGTACCGGCAGGCCGCAGGTGGGGAGTCAGTTTGTACATTTATTTGTTTCTAACGAGGTTGGGCTCTTGCTCATCTGTCTCTCGGTTGGATGAAGGCACCGAGAGAGGGGCCACACGGGCTTAACTCTTGGGATGACAGGTAGTGATGAATGGCAGGAAGACACAGGTGCAGGGTCTGGCAGTCCGGGTGACAGAGGCCAGGAAAGGAGCCCAGGACCGTGCTTACTCCGTGGTTTTGTTTGGAATCAGAAGGTGGGGGGCGACACAGGAAGAAAGAATTCTATTTTCCTTTACCTTCTTGCTAGCTAGGATGTAGCCACAGTTCTTGAAAACATTGAAAAACATCCAAAAAAAAAAAAAAAAAGAGTCCCTCCTCCTCTTTCTTCCTCGACGCTCCCTTTACCCCTCCTGCCGCAGCCACCCCCACCGCCTTCCTCTCCTCTCCCTCCCCCTGCTGGTTCGCGCTTACTTCGCTCCCGGCTGTGCTCCGGGCTTCAGCCAGGTCCCAGCTGCCTGCGAGGCGGGAGGACGCGATCTGCAGCGGACCAGGCAGCCTGAGCTGGAGGACTGTTCGGGTGGGCTGTCTGTCTATCTGTTCTCCCTCTCGCACCCCACACCCGCACTCAGCACTCCCAGGGCCGCGCCGCCTCCGTGGTTCCAGTGAAGGCGAGCGGGAGAGCTACTTCGGCCCGCCGGGCGCACCGGGCTCCGGCACGCACCGCGCAGCTTCGGCGGCGTGTGCCCCGCAGCTAAAGCGGGAAGAGCGGGGACACGGCTCCCGGAGAGCCCCGACTGCACACCCCGCAACCAGCAGCGGCCCCTCGGTGTTGTCCCGGAGGAGCCCGCCCGCCCACCTGCGGGGTGGAGCGGGACCCCGGGCTCCGCCGCCGGCCCCTTGCGCTCAGTGTCCCGCGGTGCCGGAGCTCACCATGGCTGGGGCGCGCAGGCTGCTTGGGCTTTGGCTCGGCTGCTTCTGCGTGAGCCTGGCGCGGTGCGAGACCCCGGAACGGCGGCTCCCCGAGCTCCACGGAGCCGCATCCGGAGAGCGCCCGGCAGGTGGCGTGAGCCCCGAGCTGCCGCCGCACGACCAGGTGTCGGAGCACATGCTGCGGCTCTATGACAGGTACAGCGGCGGCGGCGGAGTCCCCGCGCCGCGAACGCCAGGCTCCAGAGAGCGGGGCTCGCGGCACCGGCGCCCCCAGCCCGCGCGCGAAGGCAACACGGTCCGGAGCTTTCGGGCGGGAGCAGCAGGTGAGTTCGCGAGGTGACACCCGTGGCTCCGTGCGCGGCCGCGCTCCCCCAGGGAGTCCAGGCCTCCAAGTCAACCCTCAGCTCCCAGGTCCTCTAGCCTGTGCGGCCACACCCCGCATTGCAGTTCCCCAACCGAGATCCGGGCGAGACCAGTTTTAGAGACTCAAGAAAAAGAGGGAGAAGTGGAGAGAAGAGAGCGGAGCAGGAGCTGGGGAGGTTGCAGATGGAGGGGGCGAGACCCGGTATTCGGCGGACTCCTGCGGATCCGCGGCACCTCCAAGGGACCTTAAGCCGCTGATTTCTAAATGGGCCGCGGAAATCTGTACAGTAGCGCTTTATAGCGCTACTCAGAAGCCCATGCCATTTGATGCCAACACAGGGCCTCAGAGAAAAAGGCACACTTGAACTCCCCCTGCCCTGCGAGCGCCTTGTAGCCAGTCTCTTCTCCAGATCTCCCACCCGCGCGCTCAGTGTAACTACATTTCACACTTTTCACTTGGGACACCCTTAGTGGCAAACACCCAAATGAAACCAGGTGCTTGAGTGTTTAGATTATTTAAAAGCCATCTGGGCAAATAAGCGTTGTACCATCCACCTGGAGGAGGAGTTGAGGATTGGGGGAAGGAGTAGCCTTGGATCATAAACACCTCTACGAATCTACCTGATGAAAATCTATCTGCTCATCCCATTTTTTAACACAGATCACTGCTGCTGAAATTCAGGATTTCACAAGGCTTCTTCTCACCCCTGTGGTGAAGCGAATAATCTATGCTAACAGCTTCCCTCCCTTGTGCTAACAGCTTGAGGGAAAAATTTCGTGGACACTGACTCTCAATGTTTTGAGGATGCACCGATGCACCGGGCGTTTCTTTCACAAACCTCATTATAAAGGGCAGCGTGACTTCCAAGCCTGTCTTCAGTGAACCGTTGAGAAATAGGCAAAAATTTTCTCAGTGTTGTCAGAATCCCAGAAATTTCCCAAAACTTTGGTATGTAGAACTAGAAAAAAAGGAAAACTCAAACATCCATCAAGGGAAGGAAGCCTGAGGTTAACACTGTAAATATGTTCTAGAGCTCATAAGCGTGCTGACATTTACAATAAATGTGAATTATGCTTTTTAGTGGAGAAGGCTATCGCTAAAGTCTGAGCTGAACCAGATTGCACTTTCTTCTTAGAAACAGGAGCCTGACCTGGGAGGTGGCTGCCACTAAGGAAAGGAAACCTGCTCTGTCTGATGCACAGCATCTCAGGCTTTCACAGCCAGCCAGCCACACCAGGGAGCCATCTGTGTACTTAGTGCTGGGGGGTTGGGGGGTTGGGGGTTCAGGGAAGGAGCTCTGTGGGTGTGGGCGGGAAACAAGGACTGAAAGGCATGGGGTACACAAGGCAGGTGGCAATCATGCAGGTAGATACTCAGGTCACCCTTGCCTTGTTGGTCACTTTCTTGGTTGTGTTCCTAGAGAATGGCTGAGGCACCCAAGAGATGAACAGTAATTTTTGTACCAACAAAGTTTTATTTTGACTATGAATCATCAGGACTGGATTGGAATTCGAGTTTCTTTTATTCACCCATATTGTACAGCTTTTTGTCTTAGGCTGAGGAGCCATGGATCAGGATGTGAATAACTCAGGCATCATATACTTTGTGGCTTCTACCAATTCTGTGCGTTATAAATTCGGTGTCTCTTATCAGCTTCACTGTCATCTTATATCATCAAATGATAAACTCTGATACAGAATCCAGACATTTGCTCAAAATGATGAATTGCAGAATGAAGCATATACACAAGGCTGTGTGCCCTGATAAGGAAAGTAATCCCTTTAGCATCCTAGAGCTTGTCTTAATGACTTATTCATCAAATGTAGACATGAGTTTTTGTGGAAGCTGAAGTATCATGTTACCTTGTTGGAGACTCCTGTAGAGGTGGTTCATGTTGGACTCCTTCCAAGAGTGTTTAGTTACCAACCCACTGAAAAGACTTTATTATAAAGCAGTTTTGGCTGGGATAAGGCAGGACCACAGGAAGGTGCTAAGATTTTCATGTGAATGTCCCTCTTACTTTATCCATATTGGCGTTTCCACAATGCCCTTTCACCTTGTAACCTGTGTTCTGGTGTAGGTGAAGGATGCTGTCTGCATTAATAAATTAGACATGTTTTCCAGTTCCAGCTGTTTAAGTTTCATAGGCTATGGGACCTCTCTGTACCAAAGACATTACAGATTTGGTGTTGGGACAGTATACTGTATATACAGAGCAGCTGCTGACCCGGCAGACTTCCTGAGTGCTTATTTGAGCTGAGTTATAGCCTTCTATAGAGACCTATTTGATCTTTGGAACATACCTGATTAAAATTATTTATTGTTCTAAACCTAAAATATCTTTGGTTGAAATTTAGCTGCTGTGGTCTCCCTCTGATTACTTTCTACTTAAACCATTACTTGATGGTGGGTGGCATCTATCCTAAATACACTTTCTGCTAACCCCTTTTCTCCTCCCTCAACTCAAGGCAGCTAGTGTGCCAAACCGTAAGTTTGGAGTGCTTATAAGCTTTTTTGTGATGTGTAAGAATTTACATAAAGATAGAATTACTGACAGCAGAGAAGTTCAGCCTGATTAAAACACACCGTCTTGAGGGAAGACAGAAAGACATGAAACTTGCTCTTTTTAATCTTGATTTAAGTTTGTCCTTGGCTACTATGGGATAAAAAGAGTTTTTAGATGGAGATTTCTTCTGTCTTGATCCTTCAAGATGGATAATACACATTCATTGCAATCTCATTATTCCTATAGTCACTTAATCTTATTTTTCTTAACCCTAAATGTAACTTCTTCATAAAAGCAATTAAAACACCTATGTTCTCTCTAAAGAACCATTAATATTTATGCTGCACAGCTACAAAAATATTATAGTTTAGTATGTGTGACCTTTTATAAGCACACGTATTTCATCAGTAAAAGAGAACGATACTGAATTAATGAAGACCCACAAATGAATATTTTCCTTCAGTGAAGAGGGGAGATTTTTCTTAAAATGGACAAAAAAACTTCAAAAATAAACCATTATGATTCTGATGTGTTTCTGAAGTGCAACTCGAAAATACAAGGTTTTGACATACAGGGTATAGCTAAGGACCATATGATCTTCACTACAACAGGAACTGTTCCTGTCACATAGAGGGACCAGTAGGGAAAGCACTGCTTCTGATGGGCTTCATAGTCACAGACTGTGGTGACTTTATTAAATCATAGTTACCTTGAAAGTTCTGGCAGTTGAAACTAAAGTGTACTTGGATTATCTGATGTTTTTATTTAAAGGACAATTGTACATCTGCACAAGAAGAACGGAGCACAGCTGCTTTGAATTACACACTACTTTGAATACATGATAGCCTTTAATGAAGATTTTACTGTAATAGGAAAGACAGCTTTACAGTCTCTGGCATTTAAAGATCCATAATACCATGGATTCTTGATTATCCATGGTAAATGGAAGGGAGAAAGAACCAATTATGTAAAAGTAATACAGATTTAGCTTTATAGTGTAGCTAGACACACTCAAAAAGATGAAGTGGCCAGAGAAAAACCCTAAGTAGACAATTGACCCACACAGATAATTCACTGATATTTGTACATTAAAAAAATAGAAAACATGGTATTTATCTACAATGGAGAACTCCTCTTCTATAAAGAAAGATAATGTTTATAGGAGAATAGATGCATCTTGAGACTATGATGTTAAGTGAAATGAAATAGACACATATGCTTAAATATTGCTTATTTCTCTTTTGTGAGAAACTCAGAGTATATATTTTTAAAAAAACAAAGTGAAGGATGGATGGTAGGAAGCAGAAAGATTTTTTTAAGTGGGAAGAGGATCAGGAGATGGAAGGAGGAGAGAAAAAAGAATTGAAAATAGGAATCAGTACCAACTTTTGCCACACACACATAATGCAAAAATTATGTGCTGCAAATGTATATTAACAAAAATTTAAAATTACAGTTTCAAATGATATACAATAAAAAGATGCAATAACAAAGAAAAAACTTAATACATACATTTTACCACAGCAGTGGGATTTCATTTGATTGGGTACTTAAAAATTATATAGGGACATGAACATCAAATCTGCCTCCCTGTAATTCTAAATTATAGAATTCTGTACTTGGAGGAAGCATTGAATAAAACAAGTCCATCCCGTGTCATCAGTGGAAACAGAAATGGAGACCATGTTGCTTGATAATTTTTCAAACATGTACAGTTTAACTCAAAACCTATTATTTCTAGTGACCTAATCTAATTTTCTAGAGATAGTTTCACAAAAAGAGATCTCTGGAAGATGTTAAAGGTATAAATAAAATGAGTTCATGGCCAAGTAAGTTGGAAGTGATAAGTATTCTTTGCTGAGGTACCTATCAGGGCCTTTAAATGTTAATGAGCCCCCTTAAAGTAGCCACAGTTTCTCCTGGAGAGAGCATTTTAGAGAATTGTGATTCTAAGATGTCTAGTTGGGAAAATACTAGTAAAGTTTGGAGCCTTACTAGTCCAGCAAGAAAAAAAGACAGGCAAAGTTCAGTGGTTACCACAATTGGGTAAGAACAGCTCTCACCTCCCACTTATCTCACGATGTTCATTGATGTTATTCTTTTTTTTGTACTTGGATCCAGTGGGTGTTGCACCATCTTCTGCTTTTCTATTCTAAAATTCTCTGAATATAATTTTAGAGCCTCTGTCATTGAACTTTATGTCCCCCATTTTAAATTACTCTTCATTGTTTTGGTCTATATAATTGATATCTCTTGTTTCACAGTGTCATGCTTTAAAAGAAAACTTCTTTAGTTTTGGAAAAATGCTCTGGAGAGCATATATACTGCTTTGCTAATGTTTTATTCCCATTAATATTTCACAAAAGACACATTTGTTCAAGATAGCAATCAAATCCCTAACATAATCCCCAGTATTTGTTGTATTTAATAATACAGTACAAATCATATCTGTT